TCCACCTATTTATCCATCTATCTATATTCTTTCATTCCTTCACTCCTCCCTCCCTCCCTTCCACCCCTTCCTCTCCTTACCTGCCACCACACCACCTTGACGTTCCACCAGCTGGATGGCGGCCTGCATGGTGCCCCCTGTCTCTACCCACTGGTCCACCAGCAGAACCTGGACACCTGGAGAAGCGGGGGGGGAGAGCAGAACCAAGGTGAGTCTGGGGTCTTTCTCACCGAGCTGTCTTCCCCCACCAGCCCTTAACAGAGGGGGGTCCTGGCAGGTGGAGGGGGGAGGTATCCAGGTCACTTTCTGGCTGTGTGCCCAGCATTGGATGCCACCTGTGTGCCATCCCTGGGCAGGTGCCCAGGGGTTGGATTCAAATTATTTAACCAGTTCTCTGGGCGTGGCTAGGTGGGCGTGGCCATGTGACTGGGTGGGCGTGGCTTTTTTGCAGCAAACAAACCCCCCCCCCGCCGCCATTTTTTTGCCTCCTGGGCCTCAGGGGACCCTCCTGGGTGAAGCAGTGAAACAATGAGGGGGATCCCGGCACAGGTGATCATTGGAACAGGTGATCGTTAGGAGGGATGAAAAAAAGAAAAGAAATACCTTAAGGCAGGGATCGCCAAACTTTGGACCTCAGGGACCACCAAACCCATACTTTTAAATCCTGTGGACCAGAGATTCTGGGAAAATGCCCCCAAAAGTCTGCAGGGAAATCCCCCACCCCGTTTTCCTACCGATCGATCGTTCTTTATTTGGGATCGCAGGATTCCGTCTCCAGCTCCGTTCTCAGGGGGAGAGAGGAGAGACTTTTGGCTTCATGCAAGGAAAGCAGCAGAAGCCGCCAAAGTCTTTCTTTCTCTCCCCCAAAACTCCACCAGGAATGAGTCTTTGTGAGCCTCTTGGAGCAGGAGGCCTTGCAGGGCCCCAAAGACTCATTTCTGGGGGAGTTTGGGGGAGAGAAAGAAAGACTTTGGCTGCTTTCCTCGCATGCAGCCAAAAGCAGAAGAATAAAGAAGCGGAAAGAAGCAGCCCCGTGGCCAGGCCAGGCGCGTGGGGCACGTGGGGCAAGTCCCCCCCCACTCCGTCCTTCCCTCTCCCCTTACTACCTCGTGTTGTCTGCATTGCAAGCGATGCAAGCTTTGTGTTCCTGCGCAGCCTGGATTAATTGCTTTGGTGGGGACATTTCTCTGCGGACCAGCAAAAAATTCTTTCACGGACCACCAGGGGTCCCCGGCCCACCAGTTGGCAACCACTGCCTTAAGGAGTGACTGGGCAGGAAGGAGGAAGGCAGTCTGCGATGTCGGGCATACACGCGATGTTGCACTTCCTTTATAAGGACTGACTGGGCGGTGGTTGGAGAGGAGCGGGGCCAGCCAGGAACACGATTTGCCGGTTCTCCGAACTGCGCAGCATCAGAACCACCGGTTCTATAGAACCAGTCCAAACCGGTAGAATTCAACCCCTGCAGATACCCACTGACATGCCGACCAGAGGTGGTATTCAGCCGGTTTGCACCGGTTCAGGCGAACCGGTAGTGGCAATTTGGCCAGGGTCGCCGAACCGGTAGCGAGTTCTGGCTGGCCACGCCCGCTGCCTGCCTGCTCAACGCTCGCTCACCCACCCCTGCCACGAATTGGCGAGGAGGGTGACATATATATATTGAATCTGTAATTCCACCGCTCCCCCCCCCGAGTCCCCTTCTACCTGGACCGATGGCATCTGTGCGGGTTTCCATCACTTTCTCACGGTCCGTGTAGTCCCTGTAGGTCTGGGTGCGAGTCTCGACGCAGAGGTGGCCGGCTTTCCGGATAGTCACGAAGCCCTTTCGGAGGGTGAGGGCAATGGCAGCACCTGGGGGGGGGGTAGGAGGAAAATATTGGGGGTGAGGGGTGAGGTTTCATTCATCCTTCCTAAGAGAAGCCGCAGATCCTGGTCATTAGCCAGGTTTTTCTTCAATCCTCCCTGGAGTCATCACGAGATGGATGAGAAGGACCTCAGAGGTCATCTAGACCAACCTCCGAATCCAGGGAACTTCCCCCATTTGAAAGCCTCTAGGGAGAGTGGGCCCATTGCTTAATGCAGGGGTCCCCCAAACTTGGCCCCTTTAAGGCTTGTGAGCTTCAACTCCCAGAATTCCCCAGCCAGCACAGCAAGTTTGGAGACCTCTGGCTTAATGGTTGATGGCCAGTGTTTTTCTGGCTGCCTTTATCCTGGCCGTGACAACCCCGTAAGGAGGAGTGAGCAAACGGAGGGTCACCGGCCAGGGAGTGTGGTGGCTGGAGAGGGAGTCCATGTCTCCCCCATAGAGAAGAATCTTTGTGGCTTAGGGTTGAAATGAGGGAGGGGTCCTTGGTGCTCTCTGAGCTTGGCTGTTTTCTTGCAAACGTTTCATGACCCAACTAGGTAACGTCATCAGTGCTAGAAGGGGGAGGTTTTGCTCTCAGTTTATATTGCCCTGCCAATGGGAGTCTCCCCTCTCCCCTCCCCTAAGCTGAGGACTTGGGTGAGGGGAGCGAAAGAGAAGCAAGAGAGACGTACCCAGTACAAACCCCATGGCATCAATGCCAACCACTTGGTCGATGGCATCGTCCCGAAACGGTTGCACCAAATCTTCCACGCAGTCCTGCAAGGCCTGGGGGGTGGGGGGGAGAAGAGAAGGGGGCAGCTATGTGGGGGGCACGGCTCCCCCAGACCCACAGGAAAAACCACCCAGAGCAGGGTCTCGTGCTCCTCTAAGGACGGATCCCCCTAGTTACCAAGGAGCTGAGTTTCTGCTTTTGTTATCCAGGCCAGCTTTCGACATTTAAAGCAGGGGTCTCCCACCTTGGCCCCTTTAAGACTTGGGGACTTCGACTCCCAGAATTCCCCAGCCAGCTTTGTATATATTTATAATCTCTGTCTGTCTGTCTCTCTTTCTCTGTCTATATATCTCTATCTCTATCTTTAGGGAAACAATACTGCAGAATCTCCAGTTAGAGGTGATATTTGCCAGTTCTTTGAACTACTCAAAATTTCCACTACCGCTTCTCCAGAACTGGTCAGAACCTGCTGAATCCCACCTCTGATCTGTAACATGTCTGTCTGTCTGTCTGTCTGTCTGTCTGTCTGCCTACCCTTAGTAAGACCACACCTGGAGTCCTGCGTCCAGTTTTGGTCACCACACTATAAAAAAGATGTTGAGATTCTAGAAAAAGTGCAGAGAAGAGCGACCAGGAGGATGAGGGTCTGGAGGCTCAAACATACGATCGACGGATGCAGGAACTGGGTCTGGCTAGTCTAGTCTAGTCTAGTCTGTCTGTCTGTCTGTCTATCTATCTATCTATCTATCTATCTATCTATCTATCTATCTATCTATCTATCTCATCTATCTTTCATCTCTGTCTGTCTGTCTATCTATGGCGGGGGGACTGGAGGCTAAGAAATATAATGACTGGTTGCAGGAATTGGGCTAGTCTGTCTGTCTGTCTCTCTCCCTCTCTCCTTAGTAAGGCCACACCTAGAGTTCCGCATCCAGTTTTGGCCACCACACTATAAAAAAGATGTTGAGGCTCTAGAAAAAGTGCAGAGAAGAGCAACCAGGAGGATGAGGGGACTGGAGGCTCAAACATACGACGGACAGTTGCAGGAACTGGGCCTGGCTGATCTAGGGAGGAGAAGGACCAGGGGAGACAGGAGAGCATCTTCCAATATTTGAGGGAGGGGCTGCCCCAGAGAGGAGGAGGAAGGGGGTCAAGCTATTTTCCAAAGCCCCCAAAGGCCAGACAAGGAATAATGGGTGGAAACTGATCCGGGAGAGATTCAGCCTGGAAATAAGGAGAAACTTTCTGACAGGGAGGACAATTAACCAGTGGAACTGCTGGCCTCCAGAAGCTGTAAATGCTCCAACACTGGAAGTTTTGAAGGAGAGATTGAACAGCCGCTTGTGTGAAATGGTTTAGGGTCTCCTGCTGGAGCAGGGGGCTGGACTAGAAGACCTCCAAGGTCCCTTCCAACTCTATTCTGTTAACTCTTCTGCAGGACCGTTTGACCGGTGCCCTTAGGGGAGGCATAGGAGTACCAGGTGAGAATCCACCCCACCACCCCCGATCATTCTGATGAATGATCCCCAGCTCCCCAGGAGACGGACCCCTCCTCCACAGACTTTGGCTGGGCTAACTCATTCCTGGGGCTAAATTTAGTCCTTTGCGCATGGCGTCCTGCAAGAGCATTTAAGTGTAGACACTTTAGACCCTGTTAATAATAGATCTGGGTGGGGGACTCCCTCTGAAATGGGATTCACAACTCAGAGCATTAGGGGCGGCAGCCATGCACACGTGGTTTACAACTGGGAGCGATGGGGGAGGGCACCCGTGTCAGCCTCAGACCGGTGACTGCAGTCAAGCAGGTGGGTGGCACTGCCCAGGGCTCATCGCCCTGGAGAGAGCAGAAGGTTTATGGGGGTGCAGACCCTAGACACCCCCTTCCTGCAGAGATTTGACCCCCCCCCTCCTAGAGGTGGGATTCAGCCAGTTCTGACCAGTTCCGGAGAAACGGAAACGGAAATTTGGAGTAGTTGGGAGAATCAGCCAATCCTGCCTCTGACCGGCCCTGCCAACCCCATCTCTTCTCCGCCTCCCATCGAGTCCCAGCTGATCGGCTGGGTCTCCTTGGGTTGCCCTGCCCAGGAGAACAGAGCTGGAAAGCAGGTCAGTGGGGTGGGGAGGGAAAGGGATTTTGAGATATATCCTTCCCCTGCCACGCCCACCAAACCACACCCACCACAGAACCAGTAGTAAAAAAAATTGAATCCCACCACTGCCCCCTCCCTCTCCGTACCTGGGGGTGGCAGTAAAGACGAGAGGGGTCCAGCCAGGCGTAGGAGGGGCCCTTGGTGTTGGGGGCCATCAGCTTCAAATACCAACCCTGCTCTCGGGAGGCTGGCACCGTCTTGAGGTCCATGGGCAGAAGCTCTGCTGGCGGCGGATGGGACTGGAGGAGGGGGCGGGGGGGCACAGAGGGAGGCACTTCAGACCAGGCGGGAAGAATCGGTCCAGGCTGGAAAAAACATGGCGCAGCCAGGCACGGTATTTAAAAAAAGACAACCTGGTTGTGGGAAGCTGAGGGGGGGGGTGTTAATAGGGCTGGTGGGGGGAAAGGGGGAATGAGGATTGTGGAGAATATGTAAAAACTGAGCAGGCTCACTGAATTAGGGGTGTCCAACCTTGGTGACTTTAAGACCGGCGGACTTCAACTCCCAGAATGCCCCAGTCAGCTTTAAG